AAAAATCTACATATAATTTTTGACTCTCCCCAAACTTAACTACTAATAGCCTACTAGTGACCAGAAGCCTTACTGATCTATGTATATTATATATATGTCATATGTATGATATATGTATGTTGTATGTATTATATATTGTATTCTTACAATAAAGTAAGCTAGAGAAAAGAAAATGTTATTAAAAAATTGTAAGAGGATATATTTACAGTATTGTACTGTGCTTACTGAAAAAAAATCCATCCATTATAAGTGGACCCTTGTGGTTCAAAGCCATGTTGTTCAAGGGTCAACTGTAATTCTTAACAGAAGTGGGGAGAAAAGGAGGAAAGAGGCCTGTAAAACATAGAAACTGCTCTGGACATTCCCTTGCCCCAAATCTAGTCCACAGCTTCTATTAGATTACTTGTCAAGGACAAATCCTAATCTTAAGTGTCTTCTCCATGAAGACGAATAAAGAGCTGCAGCCATCTGAGCAGGTAAGCTTAACTTGTTCCAACTCTTCCCTTATAACCTAGTGAGTTTTACATTACCATACTGGTTTCATGGCTAAAATTTTATTTTTTTTAAATTTTTTATTTTTTTGAGCGAGAGAGAAAGAATCTTGAGTGGACTCCATGCCCAGCACGGAACCCAACCCAGGCCTCCATCTCATGACCCTGAGATTGTGACCTGAGCTGAAACCAAGGTTTGGACACCTAGCCGACTGAGCCACCCAGGTGCCCCTTGTGGCTAAAATTAAAAAAAAAAAAAAAAAGGCTATAAGGTCTCTGCATCCGTCTATATGATCAAACTGTTTAGATAGGTGTATTTTCTATTACAAACCATACTGACCACATTAATTTGTACAAGAGCTTGACTTAACTGGCTTTAAAAAAAAGTAAGCACTTACATGAAGTAAGTATTCCTGAAATTCTCAGAAATATAATAGAAAATAACCCAAATACTTTTCAGCTTCATGTGATCTGGGAACATATTCAGTATTAAAGCTAGTTTAAGTTTGGTTTAATTAAGTATGTTTTTAGAGTTATCAGCATTAAATACCAAACAGGCATACAACTTTTATTCTACTTGGGTTTCACTAATAAGCTTATATCTTGGTTACAAAAATTTGTCAGCCTGAAAAATAACTTAGGATGATAACCAACTTTGATGTCTGTAATGATGTTTTTGTGGGTAATCTAACTGTTAGACTAAATCATTTAGACAGATATAAATGGGATAAGAATTTCTAGGTGAACTTTTCAGCAAATAGTTTCCAAAAAAATTTTTTTTTAGATTTTTTTTATTTATTTGTCAGAGAGAGAGAGAATGAGAGCGTGCACAAGCAGGGGGAACAGCAGAGGAAGAAGTGGGTTCCCTGCAGAGCAAGGAGCCTGATGCGGGGCTTGATCCCAGGTCTCTGGGATCATGACCTGAGCCAAAGGTAGATACTTAACCGACTGAGCCACCCAGGCTTCCCAGTTTCCAAAATCTTTTGACTCCTCAACATTTTAAAGTTTTGCTAAGGTAAGTGATGAGTTAAGTCAAACTCACCGAATATCTAGACCATCTCAAAACAAAATAACGTGTGCCACATTGGAAAATTTACTATGAAGAACATAATACTTTTAGGAATATGAAACATATTCATAAGATTGCCAGTAACAGCCCATTCACAATTGTTTAAAGCTACGAGAAATAATACAGTTCTCTGTACGAAACGAAAGCAGCATGTGCATTTTCGGGAAGAGAAGGTATGAGGAGTGGAAATGCATTTTTGTTGAGGGAAAAGAAAGTAATTTTGTCCTACAAGTAAGGCTGGTTATTTGGAATGGGAAAAACAGGACGAGATCGGACTGTAAAAAACAAGGTGGCAGATGGTGTGTACAAAAGGAATCTTGGGAAAAGGATTTTATGTGTGGTCAAGATAGCTAAGATTGGAATGGATATATATTTTAAAAAATGAATTAATGAATGTTAATCCCCAAAGTGCACAGGTACAAAATGAAAATTGGTTTCCTCTCTGTTAAAAGGATGGAGTTTTCTAAGCCTATGGGTCTGAAGCTGGTAAGACATTGTACAGGTTTTTCTTTACCAAGTGATCTGCCTGGAAACAAAAGATTTTGTCCTCTCAAAATAATTTCCCGTGTCTCATATCAGATCTCTGGTTACTTAAGAAAACCCAGACTTCTCTATAAGGAAAGCTTGGGGCTTTTGTTTTAGGACTCCTTAACTCTCGGTAAATCTCTGCAGACCTTGTAATCGTCATTATGGTTAAGCAAATAACCAAGTTATGCTTCACAACGACCTATGATCTTATTTGATCAAGTTTTTAAAAACCTCTTTATATCTTTGGGCGTGCCTGGGTGGCTCAGTTGGTTAAATGTCTGACTGTTTCGGCTCAGGTCATGACCTCAGGGTCCTGAAACTGAACTCCACATCATGACCTCAGGGTCCTGAAACTGAACTCCACATCAGGCTCTGGGCTCAGCATGGAGTCTGCTTACAAATCTCTCTCCCTCAGCCCCTCCCCCTCTAAAAATAAACCACCAAAAAGCCCCCCAAACCCTTTGATATCTTTTACAAATTCTGTGTCCCCCTTCCCCCATAATATAATTCTAAAAGAAGTCTTTTTTTAAAAAAGATTTTATTTATTTATTTGACAGAGATCACAAGTAGGCAGAGAGGTAGGCAGAGAGAGAAAGGGAAGCAGGCTTCCAGCTGAGCAGAGAGCCCGATGTGGGGCTTGATCCCAGGACCCTGGGATCATGACCTGAGCCGAAGGCAGAGGCTTTAACCCACTGAGCCACTCAGGCGCCCCTAAAGGAAGTCTTTTTAACCTGGAAGTAACTTTGAGGTTTCCATAGGATCCTTGGAAAATCTGCAAAAGAACTGTTCTCTCTCCTTATAGAAAAAGAGATGCCAAACTCATCAGGCTTATTTGATACATTAAATTATACAGGAACCATTGTCAAATAAGTAACAGGAAGCCTTCCTTATGTTGTATTTGTGTAGGTAGGTAAGTGTTCCAGAAACTAGGGCGCCTGGGTGGCTCAGTCGGTTAAACATCTGCCTCTGGCTCAGATCATGATCCCAGGCTCCTGGGATGGAGTCCCACATTGGGCTCTCTGCTCAGCAGGGCGCCTATTTCTTCCTCTACCTCTGCCTGCTGCTCTACCTACTTGTGCTCTCTCTGTCTGGCAAATAAATAAATAAAATCTTAAAAAAAAAAAGATAGAAATTATGTGGAATTCTTGGAAATCTGATATGTCCTCGTAAAATGTTATCAGTCATAATCCTGGTTATTATTTTAAAATGTTGTATGTTATAAGAAATAGTCAAATTTCTTTGTCAATTCTGTTTGACCACAGCCATTAAAAAAAAAAAAAAGATTTTATTTATTTATTTGACAGAGAGAGATCACAAGTAGGCCGAGGGTGGGGGGAAGTAGTCTCCCCACTGAGCAAAGAGCCCAAAGTGGGGCTCAATCCTAGGACCCTGAGATCACGACCTGAGCTAAAGGCAGAGGCTTACCCACTGAGCCACCCTGGCGCCCCTATCCACAGCCATTTTTAAGTCTTTTGTCATTTACAGATGGTTCAGTTGTACTGTGATGCTTTTGCAAACATGTTTCAGCTTTAAGGAGATTCAGTATAGGTTTCTAATAACTTTAAGACCAAAAAACTGAAATGGGTAAAAAATTTCAGAATAGGGAAACTGGATTCAAACAGAGTATGTATTAATGACATGGGACAGAATAAACAAGGAGTATGATTATTTTTTATGACTTTTTATCTGAAACATTGCTGGTTCCTTCATGTTTTGTTTTTCCATATTTAAGGAAACCTTTTCTCTTCAACTGTATGATTTGCAGCAATTCAGTAAAGTATACTTTTGTAGACAAAGATGAAACATGTACTTTTTTCTCCTACCTGATCCCCTCCTGAATTCAGAAACTCTTGAGTGTTCTTTTCATGACTCTATAGTTAGTTATTTGCCTAAGTTCTATGAGAATCTGTTCTCATAATAAGACACAATTGGAAGCATTGGTTATATTACCAAGGTTTTGACTGATAGGAATTCACTTGAACTATAGGTATATCAGGTAAAATTTAATGGTGAGTCTTTGGCTTGGCTTCCTGCCTGAGAGACTTTTAAAAGTTCAATCTGAGATCCCTTATGATCTCAGATTGGGTGGCGCCTAGGTGGCTCAGTTGTTAGGCATCTGCCTTCAGCTCAGGTCATGATCGCAGGGTCCTGGGATTGAGCCCCCCATCGGGCTCCCTGCTCAGCAGGAAGCTTGCTTCTCCCTCTCCCACTTGCCCTTGCTTGAGTTCCCTCTCTCAGTGTCTGTCTGTCTCTCTGTCAAATAAATAAGTAAAATCTTTTAAAAAAAAGAAAAAGAAAAATTTTAGCAAAGCAGTCTTAAGACGGGCTTGAATGGTCAAACACTATTCTTACTATACCTACAGAAATAATCAGGTCAACTTAATGCAAACACATTAGTTTAACTGTGATTATATTTAGCAAATAGGGGTAATTGTAGAGGGAAAAATTGTGTTTGCTCTTTGTAGATCCTAGATTCTGATCCTGTTTATTGTCTTTGACATCTTGTTAAATGCCTGTAAACAGAATTAGGTCCTCAATTCTTCTACTTTCTTCAAATATCTGACTATGACTTTCCAAGTGAATGTTTCCAAGTTTCTCCTGCCCTTCTGACTTGGGAGTCACCGCGCCCAGAGAGGGCCCTGAATCTCCTTGGAAGGGATTATACCAGGTCCTCCTCACTACCCTGATGGCAGCCAAACTTCAGGGACTTGAACCTTGGGTACACAGCTCACAGCTAAAGAAGGCTCCACCTGGCCGCTGGGCCTGCACAGATGCTGGGGACCCTCCGAATCACATGGACAAGGAAAAGTAGCCGACATCCAGGCAGACTGCTCCCACCCGAGGCACCAGATCAAGACTCCCTACTTTCAGGACAAAACCCTTACTTCTTTTCTTTCCTTCCTTTATTCTACCATTGGTCTGGAAAGATAACACCTTCATCTCTATCTCCTGGGCCATCGTTAAAGGGAGGTAACCTTTCAGACTTCGGGATTTGTCTTTAAAAACCCTGGTCTGGCCATGAAGACAGAATCCATTCACAATGCCACCTTCGTGGAAGTGGACTGTGCTCCCACAGGGTCTGTCTTTGTGGCAGCTTTCATCCCCTTTGGGCCTTTGAATGCCTACAGGGGCAATGCACCCTCTCTAAGAAGGTTAGCTAACAGTGCCCCTAACCGTCACAAGCAAACCCAGACACCCCATTGGTCAGCTCCCCTACATTTACATCATCAAGTTAGAAAGGCTTTTGTGATTCAGGATTTCTTCCTTTGGCAGGTCCCTAACTCCCTGGTTAGGAGTGAATACAAATGAGGCTGTGATCAGGTCATTCTCCTTAACTCTTGAAAGTGTGGCAAAAATCCAGGGCTGGAGCACTAGCTGCACAGTGAAAATCCTTAGACTCTCTGACCATAGTTGTTTTCGTTTCTAAGTTTTTATTCATTTATTTGCCAGAGAGTGAGAAAGAATAGAGCAAGAGAGGAAGCATGGGGGGTGGCGGGGGTAGAGACAGAGGCAGAAGCAGACTCTGCTGAGCAAGGAACCCAATGTGGGGTTCCACCCCAGGACCCTGGGATCACGACCTGAGCCCAAGGCAGATGTTCTATCAACTGAGCCACCCAGGTGCCCCTTGGGAGCTGTTTCTGATAATAGGGCAGTCTTTGATGAACTTTGAGCTGAGCACAGAGTCAGGGCTGTGCCCAGCACCTCCTGCTGCCCCGGGATGAACACTTCTAGGGAAGCCGAAACTCACTTCCGGAAGGACACCAAGTGAGCCATTTGGCTTAAAAAGGTAACCCCTTCCTTGGGGTCTTTCTTTGCCTTACTTGATTTTGATGGATTTGGGTCTTAGGGCCCATGGCTCCTGAGTGCTCTCTAAACAGAGAGAAGTGTCCCGCTGATGATAATCACAGTAGTAATCCTGGGGCACCGTCCTCTCTCAGAAGCTTTACATGCATGTTGGAAGGCCTGACCCCCAAGCAAATGATCTCCCTGAGACCGGGGCATTAAGAAGGGAATGGAGTGAACGTCTAACTTAAACAGTGTGAGCCTGACGTCACGACCTGTGAGTATCAAGCAGCGGGAGAGCTTCGCAGGAACGGCTGGGAAGGGCACCCACGCCTTACGGTTTCATCTTCATTAAACCGAGAATCCGATCAAAAGGAGGGAACTGTTATAAAAGAAACAGCGGGCCCCAAATGGAGCCACAGACACTCAGCCCCTGTCAGCCAACCAACATTTCAGGATCTAACATAACTTCAGTTCCAATTTCTCACAGGAATCTATCTTTTAACCGGTCAGTCTGGAATTACCTGGTCAGCCCTAGCGAAGTCATCTGCCTGACAGACCCCGAGCCTTCCCCCAGAGGAAAGTGACCCTGCTTGAAATAGTCCATTCTTTGCTAGAAGCTTCCTTCCCCCTCATCCCCTCCTGCCTATAAAAGCCTTCCATTTTGTAAGGCTCCTCAGAGCTCCTTTCTGTCTGCTGAGATGAGATGCTGCCCGGTTCATGAATCATTAAAGAAGCCAATTGGATCTTCAAATTTCCTCAGTGGAATTTTTTTTTAATGTTGTCTAACAGAAGAAAATAGTGTCTGTTTCTTCACACTCTTTTGTCCAGCTTTACCACCTCGTGTTCTAGTCACCCTGAGGGCTGCCTCTCCTTCTCTGGCTCACTTCACCTCCGGTGTTCCTACAACCCCCTCCTCATGTTCCATAATTTGCTCAAAGAACAGGTCACATGACTCAGGGGGGCACTTTACTCGCATTTCCTGGTTTATTTATGAACAACCCGATGAAGGGCTACATAGAGGGACGTCCAGAATGGTCTAGAGCTTGGGAGCGTCTGTCCCCTCGCAGTTGGAAGACACCACCCTCGGAGCATTTGAACCCCTTCATGAACCCGGAAACTTTCTAAACACTGCTGTTCAGGGGTTTTTATGACACAGTGTTCAGCCCCACCTTCCCTCCCTTCAAGGTGAGGGTGAGGCCGAAAGTTCCAAGCCTCTAATGCCTGGGTCTCTCTGGCGACTAGGCCCATCCTGAGGCTATGGAGGGTCCTACCTTAAGTCACCTTATTAGCATAAACTCAGCTGTGACGTGGTGACATGGCTTATTAGGAAGAGCAAAACACGTTCCAGTCACTCAGGAAATGCCAGGGTTGAAGGACTCCCTTCTGGGCCGGGAGCACAGGGAAAAGACTGAAAGTCGTCTTAAACCACACCCTCGATCAGAGTTCCCTCCCGGACCTGGCGAGGGGCCGAATCACTGTTGGGGCCTCTGGTGGGACTGTTCTGGGCATCATGGGTCCAGTGACAGAGGACACTTGGGGGGACTGGTGCCACCTGCTCTCTCCACTTGGGTGTCTCCCAGGGTGCCTCAGATTTAATGGCCAAAAGGGAACTCTCGATTTTCCTCAGAACCCTGCTTTTCATTCATGTCTCCTCCATCTTGGTAAATGACATCATGACGTCCTGTGTTCTCTGTGACTGGTCCCAGTTACCTGAGTGGAGCCCCTTCCCCTCCCCTCACAGCTGTCAGTTACCGAGTCCTCTGGCTTCTGCCTCCTTGCCAGAGCCCCAAGCTCCCTTGTCCCCACCCCACAGAGCCATTCCCGTCTAGTTGCTTCTCATTTGGATTCCTGTGTCTGACTTGCCTTTGTGCGTTCCCCACCTCTGTGGTGTTTGCTCTTATTTTCCTACCAACCACCACGAAGTTCCAGAGGATACTTCCAACACCCAGCCAGCCTCCTTGTGATGCCTTCCTCTATACCCCCACCAACACCTGCCACCAGGTGCCTCTCGGACCCGGGCAGACCTCTCCTCCAGCACATGCCCAGCTAGACTCTGTACCTCTGCCCCACCAGCCTGTGGGCGCCTGTTTTCTTGGACTTCGTATTCTTGGTGCCAAACCTGAGAGCCTGCCTGGTGGCTGGTGGTAGTGATGACTGTTTAGCAAAGGAATAAAGCAACGAATGGTTTTCTCATTCTCTTCCCCAGCTTTCTTAAGACTCCCAGTCTTTCTTAAGACTGTGTGCTTCCGTGTTAAGTCTACACTCTTTACAAACAATCCCGGACGTTGTTTAGGAGGCAGACCCTCTGCCTGCTGAGTGTTTTCTGTCCCTATCTCATGGAGGTCTGCCCACAGGCCCTTGAAGGAGATGCCGTTGACTGTCTCCATCTTATGAGGAAACTGAGGCTCAGAAGCGTTCAAGCACTTGCTCAGGCTCACCCAGCTGGTTAAGCCGCAGAGCTGAGGTTTGAGCCGAGGTCTGATTCCGATGCCAAACACAGCTTCTGGGGCTCCTTAAGACCAGGCCCCGCCCAGCCCTGAGGCTTATCTCCCAGGGGTCTCTGGCTGTGTTGTTATTCCCCCAAGGCACCTCACGTTCCTGCTGGTGTCCCCTGCAGAATACTTTCTCTCCCCTCCCGTGCTCGCACCTCACCGGGCCGCTGCAGTACTACCCCTAGAACAGACCCCCAGAGGGCAAAGTCGGCTACTGGGACAGGAAAAGACTGGAATCAATTTCTCTCGGCCCCCAGGTGTCTTGAACTTTTAGCCAGCCCCTTCCCAACCTGGGTGGGGAAAGCTGATGCTTATCTTGGGCGCTGGGCCTCGGCCAGGGCAGCCAGGCGGAGCGGGCCCCAACTGGCCCCGGGTGAGGGCTCAGAGGGTGCCCGGATCTAGGCCTGTGGTAGGCACCTGCCAGCTCCCACTGCCCCCTCCCAGGCCCCGGCTCAGCAGCCCTTAGTCCATAGGGGCCTCTGCTTGGCCCATACTCCCACATACCTTGCTCAGCTGTTTTCAGAGGCACCCCCTTCACCCCACCTCTCCCACCTGTACAAGGTGGTCCCTCAAGCCTGCCCCATGCTCTGCCCCCTACAGCCTCCTGGCTTTCAAGGAGGGGCTGAAGATCAACCATTAGTTCTTAAGTGGGAACAAGTTTCAATCATGGACGGTCAGTCCCAATAGGACCAGAGAGAGCTCTTGGCTATGGTGAGGGACACAGCCCTAGGTCTTTCGCTCACCCCCCCTTTCGCTCACCAAGGGGGCTCAGAGTTAAGGAAAGCAAGAGGAGCTACCCAGCTCTCCTGACAAGATCCACGATATCTCTCATGATGCACCCCACCACCACACCCTGCCTCATGGACTGTCTCGACCCCTTGAGCAAGGTCCTCTTTCAGAGTCCCCTTCTCCCAGGAGCACCATGGCTCAGCTGGCACTCAGCAGGCCGGCCTTTGTGTCTCTTCCTTCAATGTTCTGGCCACCAGGCTGGACTCCTCTCAGGTCCGCTGTCCTGCCCCATCTTCCCCCACACACTGGCAGTATCTCCAACTCACCTGAGTCTCTCCCTGAGAGCCATGTTCGAGGAGCTGGGAAGATAGCTGGCCAAGAAGAACCCTCAAGCTCGGAGCCAGGGTAGAAATAACCAGTTCCTGGTGACTGGGACAAAGCAGCTCCAAGCCAGCTGTCAGAAACCACACCCACAGGAGCGGGCAGAGAGAACTGCCTGGAGAGGGACTCCCTTGGGGGGGGGGCGGTGCCTGCTGGAGGAAGCTGGCCCCAGGATGGGGTGGGGGCCTGGAGCCCCTTTGGCGCCAATCACCTGGAAGAAGGTGGATCTGAGTAAGGCCAGCGCTGGTTGGCCTGAGGCTCTGAGCTATTTTGTATTGACTTCTCTTACCTGCCCGAGGGTCCCTGTCTTGGAAGGTCAGTGTCTTGGAGCCCTGGGAAAGGTCTGTGGGTCGGGCTCTGGTATTTGCCATCCAGGGAAAATCCTGTTCTGCACGGAACTTCAGCCAGATCTCAAGGGCACTGGTTGCCTGAGTATGACCTTGGAGAACTCACCATAAAATGGGGTGCATATGCCAGTCGCCCAGGACAGTGTAAGAGCCGCACAAGATAGAGGATATGAAACCGTTCCGTAAGGTTTACACTGGGCAGAGTTTTTTAAAAGTGCAGATT